ACACACACACACACACACACACACACACACACACACACACACACACAGCCGTAAAATTTAAACAAATAACTCCGCAGTCCGGACCACTGCGGCTGTAGTCACACACACTATTTAAGCATGAATTCGTCAGGCCGCTATTAGGACACACAATATTTATAAACAAATGATAATTCATGCCTATCAGGCTCTCAATCAAGAGTAGGCACGTCAAAGACAGGCGGGGGTGACTCAAGCTCTCGTGTACGTGGGCCCCCTCCCACCCCGCCCTCCCCATTACCTCGCAGGATCTGGTAGAGGAAGACCTTGACATGGTCAGAGCTGAGAGGCTGCGGTGACACGATGATCTTGTGAAGGTCGCTCTGCATCAGCTCCGTGACCACGTAGCTATTCGGGGTCGGCGAGTCAAGGGGGGAAAAACGACAGTCCAGAACGGGGGGGGGGGTTGTTTACGCAAAGAAGGAACTGGGGTGGGGGGGTCACAGAGATAATGGAGCATGGCCTGGGACAAGAAGCAGGAGGAGGAGGAAGACAAGGAGTGTGGAGCCTCATTAGAGGAGACAGGACGATGATCATCGGGAGACGGCTACAAGGCCTGCAGTCGCTCTGGCAGACTAATGACTGCTGGACCTCCCAAGGAGCTGTGTGCGCTGTCTCTGGGTCACATTAATAAGGCCAGATGGGGGATCGAGTATGGGCCTGCATTCTCACGGGCCAGGAGCCGGCGAGCAAGCCGCTGAAACATGCCCCCACCCCTCACATAAATGGCGTGTACTGCAGCAGCTGTCTGACGTTACCACTGTCAGCCTGACACGCTAACGGCGCCGGGATCGGCTCTGTGGCGCCCAGAGCACAGGCCCTGACGCGCAACGACAGCGAGGTTCAGGGGAACTGTGCTCGCACCTTCTCCACGCCACCAAGCCCTCCTTCCACCGGCTGCAGAAGCCAAGCCGGCCCGGGGGGGACGCTTGTTAATTGAAGGCTGTATCGTTTAGGCATCCTGAAATCGGGCTAGACCCCGAGGGATCGGGAAACCCTAGAGGCATCATCTCCAGGACATGTGTCCCGTTCTCGTGCAGGATAAGGACATTCTACTTCCTCCACCCCGGTCCAAGCACTGGTGAGTGGCGATACGTGACACACCCAAAGCGTGTGGCATGGCCACTTTCAGATCTCATCAGGAACAATCTGGCGGTCCGGAGTTGTCAGAAAATACTCCTGTACCTGCTGTCTTCCTGGCAAGGAAGCTGGGAATGGAGGGCTTTCCCAATGCTCCCCCCCCATCCCACCCCAAAATAAGTCTCTGATGCCAGAAGGATGGCCCCGGTGCCCTGCCAACACCCTCACTTTGTGGCCGTTTCACCTGCATCACATCCCTACCCAGAACCCCCACCTCCACGCACTGTATATAATTAGCAGATGACTTGCCACAGATTTTCACTGGCACCTCTGAAGCTGCAGGCTGTCCCTCTCCCCAGTGAAATGACCTGCATTCCCACAGTAAGGTATAACCGTTCTCGGACAAGTTCGAGTCCAGTGGCCCAGTGCGCGTGTGCGGTGTGCAGGGGATGGAACCTCTCTGTGGGCCTCAAAAAGCTCCTGTGCTTTTCCCAAACCCCTACCGACGATACCCACCACCACCCTGCACCCAAATTCAGCTGTATCCGAGTCCCTGTACGTAACATGTCCCCAAAGGTCTCACTGGAGTTTCCATGCCAACCAAAGTGACTTAACCAGACAGGCTGATGGGTACCTGATCTCTGCTGTGAGTCATGCTGCTGCCCCACCCACCCTCACCTGAACCACCCTGCTCTGTCACTCCTGCCACCTGTGTTTAACTACCAGCAACTGTGTGATGCACAGGGGTTTTCCTGGTTCAGTTCCAGGGGCATGATCAATATTCTCACCCCCCCCACCCTGTACCCCACTCTACCAGGCCACTCTTACAGATGCCAAAAGCACCACTGTTCATTGTTGTGAGCATGTGGGGAAATTCTCTCTCTTTCTTGCTCTCTTTTTCTCTCTCTCTCTCTCTCTCTCTCTCTCTACGTCACGACTTATGAAAACCCCTCCCAGATGAAGCTCCCAACAGTGTCTCACCAGTGAGAAGTGAGCGGGCTCCGACCGACAGACCGTGCTCTCCTTGCTGGCGTAACAGGCGATTTCTGGGAAGGAGATGAGCAGGCTTTTCAGCACCGGTTCTCCCTGCAATGGCCACCCCCCCCGACCCCCCCCACTATCGCCAGACTCCGACCTGCCAGAGGAGCAGCGGGAGGCTGCAAAGTCACAGTTAAGTCGGAATGACTCAACGCGCCTTTTCATCTCGAAACGCAAGAATTGGAGAGTGCAGAGTGGGCTGAGTAGCCATGTGACCCCCCCCCTAACATAAAAGTGTAAGAAATGCCGAAGGCAAAACGGATGCCAGAACACACAAACGCTGAGCCGCGCTAATTAGCCTGCTTTCGGGAGGGGGGGGGGCTGCGGGGGGTGGCCTCGGAACTGCCGTCACCGTGATTCTGCCCTTAATTAAGCACGCCTCACCTTTGCATTGCGTCCCTGACGGCGTGTGGGAGTCGCTCGTTAGCCATCGTTACTGCGCAACCGCATCAGCTCTGGCCCGAGCCGGCGACTGCGGCTATTTACGGCATCCTAGCGGGACGCGGACGTCGCAATGAAACGCGTGACGCTTACTCGCAGGCCGAGTCGCACGCCGACGGCTCTGGCAGCACCTCACTGCTGTGGCTTCCCCACACTTTTTCTGGAGAACACATTCTGCACAGGGACATGGGAAAAATGTAAATAATAAAATAAAAAAATAAAGGCAGGCACACTTGCTCGCCTTGACAACGTTCCGTTCCGCTTGAAAGTCCGCGCGGTGGACCCCCCCCCCCCCCCCCCCCCCCCCCCCCCCC